AAAAAAAGTATTCTTATTTCCTACTTAATCAAAAATAAATAAATAATAATAATATCATTAAACAAAACGACCGATGGCCGCGTCGGCTTTATAATTAACGATAGAAACGGAATCACGCGCACCTCAAACCTGCGCGCCCACACACTCTCTATTATAGTCAACCATCCAGTCAATGTAAGTCAATGACGCAGCCGCACCTAGCGCGGTATACTTAAACTTTAAACCAAAACTATTTTCTGTTACTTGCCCAAAAAAAAAAAAAAAAAAAAAAACCACGGCGGATACCCTTGTAAGGGTATTCGCACCGACAACTTACCGGACCATATTAAGCGACGTCCCCGTCGCTTCACCAAATCAGAAAGCTATAAATCCACTCAAACTCCAAATGCTGATGGAAAACAAGCCAATCCGATTATTCGACAAATTCAGGGTAGAGGCCTCCATCAAAACATGCCCTAACAACTATATGCTGCCAGGTTTCTAACCTGGGCCTCTCACCGCCCAGAAATTAGGACGCTGACCGCATAAGTTCCAAGGACCTTCCCAATCGTCCTCTCCCCGGTCCTAGACAACCTTTGGCTTCTCGTTGGGTGTCCCTAGTTCTGGCAAAAACGAGGGACGCGGGCCTTAATCGAGACCTTTGAAGGCACTCTCGTCTTCCTTCTCAAAAAGATCTCTCGCAATCAAATACACATAAGCATATATGTATACTTAATATCCGCTCAGCTCTTTCTGCAGTCTAGTACAGAAAGGCTAGGTCCCCACCTTGGCCCACCATAGCCTGGCTGATCAGACCAGGACCACGGCCCACCGCATTGTTATTTAACGGTAGTACCCTCGTTGGTTACGCAACGATAAGTTTTCTCCTTATAAGTATTTAATCAGGATTCCCAAAAAAAATTATCAACCATCACTATCCCGCAGAGTAATTCCACTGGGGCGGGCACCCCCCTTAAACTCTTACCCCGCGGTCCCTCAGCCAGGTTGCGCCGGCTATCAGCCATCCAATGGGGTTACGCCCTAGAGGTACTAACTTCTTTTCCGTTAGCTTGACCTTTCTTCAACATGTCTCAGGAATAGCACTAGTGGTTAGACGGGGCGTCGCAAAACAAAATCACTGGCCCACTGCGCAATACGCAGGGGTCCGAAGACATGTACCAGCCCTCCCTCACTAGGCATGGCATCCTTCGCACGCTTACAAACAAAATCACCGCTAAATCCACCAGGTCGTGATCCCTGACTTGATCAGAGTCAGCAGCCACCCACCCTGAGACATCCCTCGCCCTGCACTCATTGCGACTTTCTCAAACATCCCAAACAGAAGTGACCCTTTTTTCGTCAGGCTTTATCACTCATCAGACAACTCACCATGCCATAAATCAGTTTACTCACTTTTGAAGGTGAGTCTTCCAACAACAACAACAACAACACCCCCTTTTCCAAAAAAATCCAAGNACAACTCACCATGCCATAAATCAGTTTACTCACTTTTGAAGGTGAGTCTTCCAACAACAACAACAACAACACCCCCTTTTCCAAAAAAATCCAAGGGGTTCTCATCATAAACAAAACACCCCCTCTTCCAAAAATCACGAGGGGTCTCGCCATAAAAACYAAACTTCCCGTGCTAAAAAATCGAGGGGGTCTCATCATAACACACAAYATCACAAAACATCCCCTTTCCAAAAATCCWAGGGGGCTTATCATAAACAAAATCACTGAGAGACCATCTTATGGGTCCTCATCACAACTTATGCAATCAATAATCAATATGGTAAGCATTTTGAGCCTCCAGGGCTCATAAATCTTCAAAATCCTCACAACCTTTCACAGACGGSCTSCTGTTCCTCCCCTTATACTCTRCCTTATCAGYTGCCCGTGAGCAGGTCGCACAAGTATACCGAGGAGTAGACARTTTTGCTTACAATCATATTTACAGTTYTCATGACATATAAGAGGTTTTTCACACATCGTCCACACAAACTCATCATTCATCAGAGTACAACCACASATGTGAGGAAGACAAGTGATCGTCACATATAAGAATGGTCCCTGAAAGAAACCTCATCATGATATACACTTAGGGAAATAAAATGTCTCAGACAGAAAAAATRTCTCCAAATCRTAACTCACTCAACTCAAKCCACACCAAACCCACACTGAYAACTACCCCTAGAATACATGTCAGATCTGTCTCTCAGAARCCAGGGCRTAGGCCACCTAAATATGTACATGCCTYATCTAARTCACCCTGATCCTSAAGACCCTAACTCAGTAGGAACACTAGAGTTCAGGTCTAGACTAGTAGCAATCATCAAAAAAGGTCCTCTAAGTCTAAGAGGGTATCACACAGAACCTAAGCTGATGCCTCATAAGATACTTGCCCACTTACATAGACAAACCGGCCCTATCTACTCAACTCCTCCTGGTCTATATAACTGAGCCCTAAGTCCATCTCCGGATTTCTCTACTATCCTACCGTGTCTATCATACATCTTACCTCCTACCTCTGAGACCTTCCCTACTGCCTTATCCTCAAGGAACTCGAGACAGTCCAGAGCATGATGCACGTCCCTCTTGCAGTAGAAACATAGCTGATCTACCTTCCTCTTGAACTTCTGCTTCCTGGGCTGAGGAGGTGGCGATGAAGGAGATCCTACCAAGGTACTAACAACCCCCTGCTGCTCTGTTCCAGGAGCTGCGGTACAAACGACCTCCTGCTGCTCCATTTCAGGAACCGGTACCCCAGCCCCAGATCCTGTAGCCCAAGACCCCAGTCTGCTCCTCAAATCCCCTGTCACCGGGACATACTCAGGCGTGTCCAACCTCTGAGGTCTCCTCTCGAATGTCTCTCCTGGCACTGCCATGGGCTGCTCCTCAATCTCCTCTGACCCATACTCAGGCGTGCCCATCCTCTGGAGCCTGCTCTCGATGGCACCCTCTGCCTCAATCTCTATCTCTCTCTCAAGAGGCTCCTCTATCCTCTGCTCAGGTGAAAACAAACTCACATCCTCCTGCATAGTATGCACCGCCTCAAGGAGCACGCCCATGGATCCCTCTGCTAAGCTCTGAGCCGGCTCACTGCTAGATTGTGGCAGCCCCTCCTCTACTGCCAAAGGTACGACTGGGTCTGCCGCCGCCACTGGCAGTGTTGCGAGCTCGGTAGGAGCTCTGAACTCGAATGCATCTCTCTCCGCCTGTCTCTGTGCTCTCGCCTCCTCTGGCTCCAGGATAACCCTCCCCATAGGTGGCTCCTGGTGAGGCTCTGCCGCAGATGGTTGTCCTGGCAATCCCTGTCCTGGCTGCCTCTGCTCTCCCTGCCGGCTGCTCTCTGGCCTGTCCACCTTTCCCTGGGTTTGCTGCCTTAGACTCTCGATGATAGCTGCCTGGCTGGCCACCAATGCCCTGAGTTCCTGAATTTCCATCTGCATAGCCTCCAGGCGTACTCCATGACTTGCTTCCTTCATCTTCTTTCCTGCCAGATCGCCCTCCAATAACAAGTGTCGGTCAAAAATGGTATAGGTCAGGAACTTGATTTTACAATCTAACCTCTCTTCCGCCTTCCTGGCCACCCTAAACCCGACTCTGACTGGCGATGGAAGCTCCTCTCCTCTCTTCCAGAAGTTCCTCCACATCTCAGATATCTTCGGGGCCCTAGCTGGTGCGCTGGGTGGCTGACCTGGGAGTGCTCCTGCTGCCTCCGATCTTTGCTTCTCCTGCTGCTGCTCCGGAAGCTCCCCCGCTGCCTCCAACCTCTGCCTCTCTTGCCATATCTCCTCCATCCGCCTGGTTCTTCTCGCCCTCTTTTCTTCAGCCGTCTCTCCAGCGGGCGCCCTTTCCCTCGTGCGGAGGTCGACCCTCTTTGGGATCTCTGCTTCCATCTCCTTCTCGGGCTGGCACGNTGGCACGGCTCCTGGCGCGGCTCTGCAGGTGCTGGCTCCTCCAGATCTGGGTGTTCCAGGGCATAAGCTGCTAGGTGCCTATCAATCAGGGTCAAGGCTTCCCTCCTTACAGCTGCTCTTTCTCTTCTCCTTCCTGCTATCCCCTCTGGCGAAGGAGCCTTTTCTGATGAAGGAAATGAGACCTCCTCACTCTGCAACCACTCCTCTGCCTGCCAGGTGCTCCTTGGTGCATCCCTAAGTCTCAAGCCCACTGCTGGCGTCTGTGGGGGCGTGTCCTCTCTAACCTCTATCACTTCCTTCCCTGCACGTCTCCCCACATCGCCAAACCCTCTCTACCGCTGAGTATCCTGGACCTCTTCCCATGGCACCTCCTCTCGTGGCACCTCCTTTACTAGCTTTCCTCGAGACGGTCTCACCTCCCTGGGCTCAGGGTCCCTCGGCCTCTGACTCCTCTGACGCCTCTCGACTCTGGGTTGGGGGGGCTCTGGCCGTCGAAAGGCCTCTCTCAGATGTGCCCTGCAACTCTCTCAGTCCCGCGTCATGTCTCTGATTTGGCTAGCCAGCGGTCTTTCCGCCTTCCTGGTCCCGAGTGGTAGCGTCTGCATCCAATCCTCTCTCGGTACGCCCTGCCCCTACATGGACCACTCAAGCGCGGGGATGAAGTCCGACGTATTTCCAATCTCCAGGCGGATCGGCCTGCCATCTGGTCCCACCGGCGAGGGTCGCAACTCTTCCATCCTCATCTCCACCTCTTGCCTCGTCGTCGCCTCTCTACGGATCCGCGCGACGGGCTCCTCGAATCTGCCGACTCCCCTAAGTCTCTCGATTGCCTGGGCTACGGTCCAGCCCATACGCCTCGCATGATCCCAAAAAGTGTCCAGGAATAGCTCGATGTCCCCATCATTGTAGACTGGAGTACTCTCTCGATGACGAGACCCATGTCGCTCATATCCTCCTGATGCTCCCAACGGCCTTCGAGGCGGCCGTGTCCCCCTCCCTCCTCTTGGCATGGCTGTCTTCGTAAAGTCAAACCTGCACAACAGGCGAAGGAGACAACAGGCACACATTGGGGTAAGCAAACAGGTGATAATCAAGCAA